ACCCCCCCTGCTTTGCCCCACCCTGCTCCCCCACTCCTGTGCCCCATGGAATCCTCCTGCTCCTGCACTCCACGGAGCCACAGAGCTTTAGGGAACCAGGCAGAATTACAGGTGGGTGCACGGAGCCTGACAGAAACCCCCCCTGCCTTGCCCCACCCTGCTCCCCCACTCCTGTGCCCCATGGAATCCTCCTGCTCCTGCACTCCACGGAGCCACAGAGCTTTAGGGAACCAGGCAGAATTACAGGTGGGTGCACGGAGCCTGAGCTGCCCCTGGGCCCTCTTGGGGGCCCCCCAGCCCTATCCCATGCTGTAGGCAGCCAGGCTTTGACGCCTGGCCCCTTGCCCCCGCCCCTCCCAGAGAGCCCTGGCCGTCTTCTCACTGCCTCGCGTGCCTGGTCAGAACGGCAATGGGGAGGGGCCCTCGCTGGGGTCTGTCCCCCCAGGGACTCCGGTCTCAGAGCCCCTGGCAGCGAATGCGGCTCCTGCCCCCGGCTCCCTCGCTTGCAGAGCAGTGACTCGGCTCCCAGTGCCAGCTGCAGGGCAAACCCAGCCACGGCCCCGCCCCGCACTTTTACCCCCCGCAGGTGCCCAAGCTCTGCCCTTCTCCCCAACAGCACCCCCAGGGCTGCCTCCTGGAGCCCTGCCCCTTCCAAGGCCCACCACCAGCGTGCCCCCACTCCTGCCCTTTGCCCCCAGACTGGCTTCTGTCATGCTCGTCTTGCAGAGGGGGCCTCCAGACGAGGTGGCCTCCAGACAACTCTCCTGCCCTCCCTCCCGCCGCAGCCCGGCCCCGTGTGGCTGCGCGCCCCTTCCAGGTGTGCCCTAGAAACCTCCCCTGCCGCCCTCCGCACTGTCCCTCTAATCGACCCGGGGCTCCACGTGGCCCGTAGGCTTCCTGGTGCTCTCCAGCTGTCTGCCCCACAGCCATGCTGAGTGCCAGCGCCATGCCCACTTCTCACTCGTGCACCTCAAGCTCCTTGCAGCAGTTGGGACTATAGTGGCACCAGCCTCTGTTTGTTGGGCTAGGAATGGGCGAGCGGAGGGATCACTTGGTCATTCCCTGCTCTGGTCACTCCCTCGGGCCCCCGGCATTGCCCACTGTGGGCAGGCAGGACTCTGGGCTGGATGGACCTTTGGTCCGCCCTGGTGTGGAAGCAGGATGCCTTGAGGGTTACTGGAGTGTGATGGTCACAGTCGAGCTCCTCCCAGTGCCAGAGAGATTGTCCTGCAGAGAAGGGGACAGGGAATGCCTGAGTTGGGGCTGCTTCATATCCAGTCGGTACCATGTCTTACAACAGGAGCCCTCCGGGAGCTGGGGGTCTCGCATGCAGCTAGCTCACCTGCGGAGGAGGCTTGAACCTGGGCCCTCCGATGTGAATGCACGAATGCCTATTGCCCCTGAGAAAGGAATGAAGCGCCTCTGGCTGCTGGGGGGCGGGGGAGACGCTAGTGCATGCGTGAAGGCTCGTGACGTGGGTGTATCTGGAAAGTTGCTTTGTGCTCAAACACCCGAGTTCCTCCATGCTGCAAACCAGTCACTCCTGGCAGAGGGAGGAGGGGCTGGCGCCTCTGGAAGTTCTTGCCATGGTCCTGGAAGAACAGCTGCGGGTGGCAGTGGATGCCTGGAAGGAAGCAGAGTGGCTAATCTCTGTGTTGGACGGGAACGCTCCTGGGCATTTATTGGAACAGAACAGGCCATAAAACTGGACTGTTTTTGGAGCGGGGGCTCCAACCATCCATCCTGCCACCCCTGTCCTCTGAACCCAGCCCCAAGCCCTCTGGGCCTGCTGTACTGATGGGCACCGGGGGCTGAGGAGCAACATGAATAGTAAACCCTTCTCCCCATGGAAGGAGAGTGCTGCCAGCCAGTGCTGAGTTCTGGGCCCCCACACATGCTGGCCATGAGGCCTCCACAGTGGGATGCTGGGCATCTCTATCTCCGGCTCTGGCACCACAGGCCAGGGGCTCTAGACAGCGTGTGCTCCAGAGAGCCTCCGTATGGGCCAGGAACCCGGCGTCCTGCCATGGGGCTTCTGCTCAGCTGCGTTCGGCTTTGCTTCTGGAGAGAGCAGAGGCTGAGCCGCACCTGCACACCTGGTATGACACACTCAGGGGTGTGAGGCCAGCCGGGGCCCAGTTGGGCCGTAGGGAGTTAGGGGTTCCAGCGTCAGGCCGCGTGCTGCGCTCCCCCGGGAGGGTTTGCTGGCCTAGCACAGTTGCACTCCTCTACACAGCCATGTAACAAATCTGCCTTTCCTAGGTCTTGCCTTTGGTTTCAGGGTGAGGCTGAGACGCATGTGAACATCAGACCTTTTTTTTCCCCTAATAAAACAAAAAAGCCCAACTTGTCTGAAGTGTGACAGGCTAGAATAAAACGCCTCCCTCTCCCTTGCGTGTCTGTTCATTTCTCGCGGGGCCATGGCCAGGCGGCTGGGGGTCGGCCCCCGCCGGGGGTCCTGGGGGCCATTCCGCTTGCCCGTCCCGAAGCCGGCTGGGGCGAGCGGCGTGTTCCCTGCCAAGGGGGCTGCAGGCCCAGGAAAGGGCCGCTGGAGTGCGGTGCTCCAGGCAGCGCTGGGGGCTGCTGGGAGGTGCAGGGAAGCCAGCCTGGTCCCAGTGCAGACTGGATTGTGGAGAAAGGTGGGGCACAGGACTACAGCTCCCGGCGTGCCCCGCGCATGAGGCCACAGCTCCCAGCATGCTGTGCGCACGGGCCGCGCCGCGGGACTACAGCTCCCAGCATGCTGTGCGCACGGGCCG